GTCCAGGATATTGTCGTCCTTGATCTCGTCCAGCAGACGCAAGCATAGGCGCCAGTCCATGGGCGAGCCATACCACTGCAAAGGGGAAGAACAAGAAAGAGCTTAGCTGGGGCGAAGTGGGCGTGGACGGGGGCAGCTAGAAACACCCTTTTGGCGTTGACAAAAACCTTGGGTTCCACGCGCTTCAGATACGGATTGCTGAAGAAGGTCGAGACATGGACAAAGATGCGCAGATGACGCAGTTGCTCGGCGAATTTCAGGGCCTCCAGAGTGCCGCCCACATTCAGCTGGAGGGCAACGCGCAGCGGCTCGTCGAAGCGCACCGTTGCCGCACAGTGAAACACAATCGAGACCTGGTCGAGCTGCTTCAAGTGATTGGGATCGATGCCCAGCTGCGGCAGCGAGACGTCGCCCGGAATGGCAATCAGTTTGTTCAGCTCCTGTGGCTTCTGGGCGCGCAGCACCTGGAACACTTTCGCGTCGCGCAGCTTGGCCAGCCGCTGCTCGGCGTTCAGCTGGCCGCGCGAGCGCAGCAGCACATAGATCCTGCGCACATTGGTCGAGCGCAGCAGCTTCTCGATCAGCGCCTTGCCCACCACGCCCGATCCGCCGGTGACAAAGATCTCGCTGTCCTCAAAGAACTCGCGCAGTGTTTGTGTCATTCTCGGGCCAAATGTCTATAGCTTCAACTTCAACTCCAATCCCAATTCCAATTCCAATTCCGATTCCGATTCCAACTCCGAGTCCAGTTACGGTTCCCGTTGTTGTCCGTCTCGCGATCACAAACACACTGAGCCCTACCGATGGGCAGCGCCGGCTTAGAGACTCGCGAGTGCCAGCCCGTTAAATTATTCATTGGGTCAACGGTCGTTAAACTCACATGAGCTACTTAAATGGAGCGCATTGCAATGAATGTACATATATTCGGGTCGGGCATGTGGAGCTCGCCCCGTTGAACGACGCAATGGAGGCACTCGAGCTCCGACTGGGAGTTACGTATGGCATGCGACCTTGAAACCCATTCTCGTGCTGCGATACCCGAAAAACGAGAAAATTGTTGCATGAACTAGTTCCGAAAGCGCTGAAATATTCAATTAACTAGTTCTGGAATGAACTAGCTGAAATGAATAGAAGTGCATCATCTGTTCAATAAAAATGAGCATGTTTAAGGCTGAACTAGTTATTTTTAACACAGATGAAACTCGTTGACTTTCTTGTGCAAAAATGAACCAGTTCTTTACTATATATCTTTTGTATATTATGTTACTAAGCTAGTTCCAAAGGGGTTAAACACTGAACAAGTTGTGACAAGTTCTTTTTTTGAGCCAGTTCAAGTGAATTACTTTCTGCTTAAGTTATTTCGCAATAACCGTAGAAAAAGAACTAATTCCAAGGAATAATTAGTACCTCTGTGAAGGAATCTAACTCAAATATGAACTAGAGGCTACTAGTTCCAGTGGACGCTGAACTAGTACCACATACATGTTGATCATAGATCACTAAGGAAAACAGATAGAGATAGTTCTTAATTGATTATGTATTTATAGAGGCAGAGCAAGTTCTTTGACTAGTTCCGAAATCATTGTACAGACTCAACTGGTTAAAGGCCTGAAGTGTCAGCGACAGAATCTATCTATTAGGTAGAGGGAATTAAGAAAAATCGAGAGAAATAGACTGTCTATATAGGAAAATCTCAAACTCTATCCATATCTTATGCAGCTATATTAAGAGGTCACCCATAATTGAGCTTGGTTCGTTCTGGTTCCGTTTACAGGAGATGACCAAATGCTGCGGCTGCATCAGCTGCTCGAAGGAGACGCGCGACACGTTCGCCGAAATGATGAACTTCTCGCTGCTGAAGGACGTGATCTTTGTGATCTTCGCCGTGTCGAACTTCTGCACGAGCATCGGCTTCAACATGCCCTACCTGTACGTGGTCTCCCAGGCGGAGACGCTGGACATTAGCAAGAAGGACGCCAGCTATCTGATCGCCTCGATTGGCGTCGCCAACACCGTGGGCCGCATCATCCTGGGCTACATAGCGGACAAGCCGTGGGTGAATCGCCTGCTCATCTACAACGTGTGCCTGACGGCGTGCGGCGTGGGTAAGCCAACTGGACTCCAATCGGAGTGGATATTCATTGATATGTAACCTATTTTGGATTTGCAGCCACTGCGATGGTGCCGCTCTGCCAGGATTACAATGCCCTGTTGGCCTATTGCTCCGTTTTTGGTTTCACGATTGGCGCCTATGTGGGCCTCACCTCGGTCATCCTGGTGGATCTGCTGGGCCTGGAGAAGCTGACCAATGCATTTGGCCTGCTGCTGCTCTTCCAGGGCATCGCTAGCTTCATCGGACCACCCATTGGAGGTGAGCTGCAGTCAGAGTTGTCCTCATTGATGCGAGACTAGTCTCAATTTCTCTCTCTCTCTCTCTCTCTTTCTCTCTCGCCGTAGGCTGGATGTACGACATCACGCAATCCTATTCGCCGGCCTTCCTCATGGCCGGCATCATGATCGCCATCAGCGGCCTGGTCATGTTCGCCATTCCGCCGCTGCAGCGCTACCAGGAGCACAAGGCTAAGCAGAAGTTCAACTCGGAGCAGCTGGCGCTCAGCTAGCTTGGGGTCGGCTGCGGGGACCTGACTAGAAATCATTAGCGTATGATTTACGAGTGTATCTAAACTAATTTTATACTCTCTTTTTTATTATTTGACTATTTTTGTTTTTTTTTTTTTTTTAGTTTAGGTTTTTTATTTTGTAAAGGAAAATTGTATGGAAATTGTGAAGCAGCCGTGCGTTAGACAATATATCTACAGTACTAAGAGTAGGCTTAGGTTCGGGGCAACACGCACACACACACACACACACGCGCATAGCTATAGACATAAATTATTTATAAATCAACATAGCCAAAATGGAAAAGGGCTGGGGTAAAAGCACAACAACAACAACAACAACAACAACAAAAACAACAAACGAGCACGCAACTGTTGCTGTTTACAGCCTTGCTTTGCATACCCTGTTTACAGTGCCGAAGAGAGTATATTGGTGCTCGAAAGGGTATGGGAGAGTTAGCTCTATGTACATATAGACCTAGACACACACACACACATGGTAGCCTATTGGCCACGCCCACTGCCAGGCAGCACAGTCTTCAGTCCACAGCTTGGCAAACAGGAATTGTAAACAGCGCAGTCAGCCGTCGGGTACACCCGTTTGACCCCATTTCCGCTGGGTTCTCTGCTTGGTCTTTTTTATAGTGTTTCCATTGAGTTTTCTAATTGGAAACTCTGCCATTAGCATTACGTTGATATACTCGTGCAGCAGAAGGGCCATGCACAAAGGCAAGACATAACAGATTTGCCCACATACAATATATACATACACAGCTATACTCTATACATACATATATA